ATAGACCGGTTTCTGTAGCCATTTTCCTTTAAAATCATAATCATATTCAATATTATTGGCCGTAAAACGTTATAGTGCCATATTGCCATCTCCACTCCAGAGGCCGACCGATATAGTGCACTCTGAGCAAGAGCTAGTAACTATGTTTATAATATTATGTGAATTTACTATTTCTATTTCACTTTTTTCCTAATTAATTTTTTCCTTCTAACTTAGTTTGCTTTATTTTCCATTTTACTTTCTGCAGATAAATCTTGCTTGTCAAGCAGAGATCTTGAATGGTACTTCTTTTGTCCTCGAGATAAGAAATACTCTCAGGGTTCTAGAACAAACCGTGCTACTGACACTGGTTTCTGGAAAGCAACTGGGAAAGACAGAACAATTGTCCACAATTCTCAGACTGTGGGGATGAAAAAGACCCTGATTTTTCATTTAGGCAAGGCCCCACACGGCTCTAGAACTGATTGGGTCATGTATGAATTCAGACTCGAGTCACAGGAATTGCTTAATGCTGGATATGCACAGGTAATACTATCCCGATGGAACTTCTTTGTGTCAAATATTAAGGCTAGAAATGTCTTACAGGGTATATTATCTCCTACACATCTACTTATATAAAAACTTTTATTTATGAATAATTCCTTTTGTACCTTTATTTTCAATATTTCATAAGCCTCTGTTTTATTATTGACCCAATAAGTCACACTTACCTATCATCTTAGCAAATTAGAGGCCCTTATCTATCATCTTAGTAAATTGGTGGTACTATAAGCAATTTGCTGTATCATATGACGAGTTTCACTTGTTGCATTGTGTGTGAATATGTTCTTTTAGTGTTATTTTCTCAAACACATACACATTATGAAATATCACACCCAAAGGTGTAATGTCTGGTTGTTTTATGAATCGTTTCAGTTGATGATACATTTCCACTATCTATATGCTACTTATGAGGACATTTAGGCTAAGTTTTGTAATTAGTTCATGTTTTAGTTATATTATATAGCTGGTCACTGGGGAGTAGAATAGATTGGATATCACATTTGCGGTACCCATGTCCAATTTTCAGTTTTGATGCGTGCAGGAACACAAGTTGCTGAGGCAATCTTATAATCATATCCACCAAAAGGGAATGGCGACGTGTATCAGATGTGAGGGAGGAAAAATACAAATATTGTAAGAAATTAGTAAAATTTAGAAGTATATAAGTTATGCATTGCCACAACTATCTAAATATTATAGAATCTTCTAGGTCAAAGTCAATATTTGTTTGACACATCCAAACACCTATGTTTCAACCTTTGTATCACCAAGATTGACTTGAGGCCCACAAATGTAAAAACCAAAACGGTCTCATCCATTTCTATACTGATACCTAGCTTAGTATCTTTACCGGCATATGATTTTTATCCATATTTCCTATCCCGATATACAGCTTTGTACCTTTACTGGCATGTTATTTTTATCCACAATGTATCTGTATCCATAATCAAAAGAAAATATAAAATAATATGCATATTTACATCCGGATATGGATACTAATCTCCATCTTCATTTGATTGGATATGATATGGATCAATATATATTCATGAGAATCCAAGACTCTTTGCGCGCTTCTGGTATGAAGCGGATTCACATTTTGTGTGCTTGGTTAAGATGTCCCAATGCAAAGGTAAATCCTCAAGCTCTTTGAAATAGAAATTCAAAGATGGTAATGTTGAATTTGCCTTTAATTCATAGAATACGAATTGGTGGGTCATTTGAAAGCTCATGAAGCACCCTTGGCAAGTTGATAATCCTATTTTTAGGAATTTCCTAAAAATCTATGCAAATAACTGAAAGAAAGCAAAACTAGCTTGGTCCATCTTCCTCCTTCCTCCTTACTAACTCCTTTTATTCTATTGTTCCTTTTGGTTGTTGATATCTTACCCTGCCCTTAACTCCTTCACTTCAAAGTGCTAACTAGCTTGATCCGTCTTCCTCTGCTCTGACTCCTTTTATTTTATTGCGATACACCACTTCCTCTTGGTTGTTGATATCTTACCTTGCCCTTAACTCCACTTCATAGTGCGCGCTCTAATATATTTTCATTGTGAAGCCCTTGTTGTGCTAAAAATTTCCAACCTGACCGGGTTTAGCTAGATTTGTGCTTAAAAGGCTTAGTGGATTTATATGGATTTATCAAACTAACCTTGATTACTTATTCAAATCAATGTTGAAAATATCGATAACTCATAGCGTAAGACGCAAAATAGCATGTAATGCTCATGTTCGGTTAGCGTAAGACGCAAAATAGTGCAACGCTTAACGTAGGTTAAGTGATTTATTATTATTTAAATATTTTATAAATACATAATATTTAAAATCAATTAATATGAATAATCATCACAATTTTTAAACATATCATTATAAAAATACTATCACAAATCAATATACCATCATAATTTTAGGACAAAATCAACCATGTATGCTTACAATCATTCCAAAAGCATCAAATACTTCAAGTTTGAAACCAAATCATAAAAGTTTTTACGAAACAAGCATTGCTAAGGCATAAGTTTTAATAAAAATCCTACAAAACGAATTATCCTCTACTAAATCCATCACTCATACTACTAAGTCATCCTCTAGATTGGTGTTTGCATCCTCAGGATCGTAATCAGATTCATTATTCAAAGAAAGTAACAAGTAACAACCAAACTTTCAAAGTTTCTAGAAAGCTTACAAGAACTATCGATCCTCTGTTTCTTCGTTTGTGGGGCATATTCTAATGTTTCTTCCCCCCAGTAGCTAGATTACTAATCGTAGCAATGCCGAGATACTCCCTATGTCCATCGTCATCATCTAGCTAAGTCAGATCATCTGAAAGACAAGGATCCTCCTCCACGATCCACTCGTCATCAGGAGAAGCCTTCTCCAACAAAATTGGATCTAACTTTCGCGCCTTCCTCATATTTCTCTCTTGATGTTATACATGACATAGACGAGAGAGTTGAGGTGCTTCTGCTCTAGACGACATCTCTTCTTAGAGTGAACCCTCATGAAATGTTAATGACATATATCTATAAGCTTCTAGGAGTAAATATGTTAATTTAAACTTTTAAATTGAAAATTTCTTTACTTGCTTAAAAGTACTCTAGTTGCGTTCCATCCAGATGCACTAGTAGTGAGCAATATATTAAATATCAGATATATCAAAAATATCAGACAACCCAATTCCATATCGGATTGCGAAAATCGGGATATATCAGGGATATGTAAAAAATATCAGGTTGTCATATCGGATGATGATCATATATAACATAACATTTTAATATGTAATCTAAACATAAGAAATTGCATTAAAATTCATGAATAATGATATATGTATATGTTTAGGATGACTAACCGGCTGTAGAAGCTTGCTTCTTGATCGGATGATGAAACTTTCCAAGTGCAAAACCTTCAACAGAAGAAGATAATGTTAGTCAAAGACTCAAAATAGAATACCAAACAAGCAAATGATACAAATAATGAAGAATCAACATTATAATTCACAAATTAACTTGGGATCTAATATTCAAGATTGCCAATATCCGTAAAGAAATAAAGCAAAGCAAGCAACCAACTAAGTTTTAGAAGTTACAAAAGTAGTTCATAATTGTTTATCATCATATCAATCCAAAATAACATAACCAAAATGAAGTAGAAGCAAATATGACTACAATCAATCTTTTTCAGGATCGATAGTCGAAATATCATCCATAAACATGCAAGCCTCCGACCTGGATGAGAACTCCGATGGTGTTTCCCACTCTTCCTCTTCATATGACCAGCTCCTTTGATCTTGAAGATGATACCCTGACTTTCTCCTTCTTTGGTGTGCCTTCGTTCTTGCACTCTTTCTCTTCTTTGGCTTAACCCTGATGCTTTTGCAGTTTGTGTCTAAGTTAATTGTTCTCTAAGGAGCATTTCATCATCACTTTCTTCAATAACTTGACTTGGAAGGATTACCCAATGTGTGACCCTTTCTTCATCATCATAAACAAGTAGATGATCTCTATCCTTGTTAGAATGCTTGTTCCGAAGCTTTGCATTGAATTTGACAAAAACTAAGTCATGCAATTTCTTGTGACTTAATCTATTCCTCATCTTTGTGTGAATCTACAAATTAAAATATTAATTAGCACAAAGAAAAAATTTGACTCAAAAATGCTCAGACTCTCCAACACAATTAAAGCTTAAAGAAATCATTAGTACTTACTCCAAGTCCTCTCACAAGTCGACGAGCTAGCGGTCAAGCTCAAACTTCTCATCGCCATCCTCCTAAGGTCGGGCGTATCTTTCTCGAAAAATATTCCACCATATAATCAGTTAATTAAACAATTTAAAATAATTAAAATTTTATGATAGATGTTTATGGTACATAATTTGAATAAAAATTAAGTATATCGGGATTACTATCAGGCTTTTCAGCTTGCTTCACGGCAATAAAGCTCACAAACGACCCTTTTTTATGCTGATAATCAGAAAGTTGAGCTTCAACCTTACCAAAAGTGGCATCATCCTCCCCATAGAATTTATGCATGCATTCAACTACACTTTGTATGAAGGTTCCATCTTTTTCATTCGTCACAAAAGACGGATAGAAGTAGGGTTTGAGAGAATATCCTGTTATATGTAGTGACTCCATAAGTCTGTCCTCCCATCTTTTATCAGTCATCTTCTATATAGGAATATACTTCTTCTCTTCATTATTTAGGGCTATTTTCAACTCTTCCTTGGCCCCCAACATATCTTCATAGTCAAACACCATAGACAGGGTTTTATCACTATCTACTCTCCTCAAATCCTTCACCAATGAAGTAAATAATTGAAGAGAAAAACCAACCTTGTCCCAAAACTTGTTGCTTGTAACAATTTCAGCGACCTATAAACAAGAAACACAAAAAATGCAATGATTTAAAAAACCTACTAGGCTTCTACAAGGAGCTTACTATTATAACTACCAAATTGAAATATTTATACTTTTTTGCTTGGTGTCGTCAACGATAGACTACAGTCCATCCATTTATCCGAGATGAACATTTCCCGCATCTCCTTTTTCTTTTCCCTCATTGACTATAGAGATAGGAATGCTGTAGCAAATATCATCGCCTTGAGTCTTAATATTTTCCCGTTTGTGAACTCTTTTAGCAATTGAAGGGACTTAATATGTCTGTAGATGTGCACTGATATAGTTCTTCTCATCAAAATTACACTCCGAATAGGCTTGATTTTGGCTATGTCACTCAACATCAAATTCACACAGTGTGTTGCACAGGCTGTCTAAAAGATATTTGGCATCGTCTTTTTGGTCCTCCGTTGGAATGCATAACTATGTTCAATGTTACATTAAACGCTGGGCGCTTCTAGGCGTTGGACTTGGCGCTCAGCGCTTAGTCGCCTAGGCGGGCGCTTAAGCGGTTTCTGGGCATTTTTTTCTTTCTTCATTTAAGTGGTGGTCAATGAGGTTTTGCTGAAGGTCGGAGGAGGTAATGAAGGTG